GCAGAAGGTCCCCCCAGCAATTGCGCTCACCCGGAATGTGCCTGATGGTGTAATCGTACTGGCCCAAGACAGCTTTCCACTGGTCCAGGCGCTGAGCCGTGGTTTTCGCTAGGGCAGACACGCAAGCCTCCGGGTCGACGATATACGCGAGATTACGGTGGTCGGTGACAATGTGCACGCCATCCCAAAGCAAATACTCCAACTGCTTGAACGTACTCACAATCGCGTACCCTTCCTTGTCCACCGTGGCCCACCGCTGCAGCGCGCCCTTGAAAGTGCCGCTCAGAAACCCCATCGGTTCATGAGCCATATCCTCCACAGGAACGCCACGATCCAGCTGGTGTTGGGGCACTTGCGTGAGAAAGCCCCCCCAATGCTCATCGGATGCATCGGGAAACATGAGGACGGCGCAACCTGGGCGAGGGTGAGACAGAGCGACGGCACGGGCAACAAGGTCTTGCGCGGCAGTCCACGCTTCGACGAGCGCGGGCGTCCACGCATCCTCAGCGATCGCGCGATTCTCGGCCTCGCGCTTCGTCCGGCTCTTGGCACCAACCAAATGCTGCTCCAGAAACACGCGAAGCGGCCACACAACCTCCGCCATCCGCGGCAGAGACGTGCGCAGCCAGTTTACCGCCTGCAGGAACTGTATCAGCTCGCCAGCCGTCTCAGGACGCCGCATTGTAACCAACCCGCTGAGTCGCTCGGGATCGTGCTCAACCTGACCCTCCGAGTACACCTTCCCGCACCAAGTGATGCTGGTCTCAAAGAATGTGCACTTGTGGGCGGCCACGTGAAGGCCAGCCCCCTACAGACGATCCAGAATCAAGTCAAGGGTGTCAAGCAAGTCGTCTTCATCCATCCCCCAATACACGACATCGTCTACCCAGACGAAGCAAGTCAGCCCGTCCAAGATGCGCGTAAGGGTGGCCTGGGAATACGACGTGGCGTTCAAAATACCTTGCGGTACCCTCCCTCTTGGACGTGTAGAGGCCGCCCGGCGTAGCAATCGTGAAATTTTCCTGCGCCTCCGGAGCCAACGGGCACTGCCAACACCCTTGCAAGAGGTCCAAGCTCCCATAGAACTTTGGCCGCACTGAGCTGAGCCATACTGGCTTCAGGGTTCGGCATCACACCAGGCACCTTCTCTACTTGCTTGTTTGCCGCACGAAAGTCACACACCAGCCGGTATCCCCCTTTCTTCGGAGTCGCCATCGCGGCGCTGGCCCACACGGCCTGCATGTTGAACACCAACCCCAACGCGACCAGCGACGCCATGCACCTCGCCAGCCACGCGGTCTTGATCGGGTTGTACACCCGCGGTCGTGCTTTAACCGGTCGCGCTCCGGGCTTAAGGGTGACCCGTAGAGGCTCGACGTTCGCGGGAGGGCCACCATGGCGTAAACCACTCCCGGGTGAGGTCGCCATGTTCGTTGACAAGGCCACCTACCGGAATGTAGTCGTCTGGGCATAATACCTCCGCCCTGCTGCTCGATGATCAGCGGTGGCGGCGGGGGGGGCGGTGGTGTTGTTGTCTGCTTCTCCTTTGTGCGCATAAGGAGCGTCTCTGTCTTCTTCTCCGATACCGTCAGCCCGAACTGCCCCAACATCTCCACGATGACGGTCATCACTCTCGCCAGTCCTTCGGCAGACCTCGATACGACGCCGGCGTCATCGGCATACAGCATCCCCCACACCACCCTCCGCACTCGGTCAAGTGGTGTCCTCGCCCCCGCTCCCGTCTCCTCCTCCAGCCAGGTACACGAGGTCCTGCAGAATAACATCATCCTCGCTGTATTGAATGGCAACGACCTCGATGATCGCGGCGAAGAAGATATTGAACAGCAGCGGGCGCAACACACACCCTTGTCGTAGGCCTTGTGTGACCAAGAACCTGGACAAAACTCTCCGTCGTCCATGCGCACCCGGGCCCGCATTCCATCGTGGAATTGGCGGATGACGGCGATCATCTCCTCCGGAATCCCGACCCTGGCCAGGACCTTCCACAGTAGCTCTCGGTCCACCGAATCATGCGCCTTCTTCAGGTCGACGAAGCAGATGTAAAGTGGTATTTTCCTTTTTCGCCCCAAGAACCCGCATTGTTCCTCGGGGAGGATGTTGGTTTTGCAGATGGCGCTTAGGCGTTTGGTGATGATCTTGATGGGGACCTTGCCTACGTGAGATAGGAGCGACATCCCCCTGAAGTTGTTGCAGTTGGGCCGGTCACTCTTGGGGGCTGGCTCTCTCCTCCGTTCTACACCTCAACGAGGATGGCATGGAGGTACTCCAGGACGATGGGTTTCTGGTCGTCGTCGTCGATGTTGAGCAACTCTGCAGGGGGGGAGTCATTGCCGGGTGCCTTCCAGTTCTGCAGTCCTTTCGTTGCCCATTCCACTTCCTCGAGGTCTGGTACCGCTCCCAACCGCCGAGTAGCACGTGTCGGCGGTCGCTGCGTCACTTGCTCGATGATATCTGGGTTCAGGGTGGGTGACTTGTGTTGAGGAGGGTGCCGAGGAATCTCGCCCATCGCTGGACAATGATGTTCTTTCTCAAGAACAGCACGCCATTCTCGTCCGCAACGAGCTGCTGTCCTCCCACTTGTCTCCCACTGAGCCCCACTGATATCTTGAGGTGTTGGTAGAGGCCTCGCATATCGCGGTCCTTGTAGATCGCTTCGAGTTCCGTCACATATCTGTCCAGGTGGGCATATATTCCCGTGTCGACTGCTGCGGCCACACCCTTACACGCTGCTTTGAGGGCCCTCCACGATGTTGTGTTCAACTTGTCCTTCATCGCTCGGCGCGCTTCCCGCCGTTTGGTGAGGGCCTCCTCCAAGGCTGCTCTTGTCTCAGGGGTCTCACACCATTCCTGCGTGCGTCGTTTCCGTGGTTTCTCGGGTAGTGTCGCCCTCGCCGCTTCGAGGAGAGCATTGGTGAACTGGGTCGCCTTCTCCGGGGTGGTGGTCGCTCGTTCGCCCTGCTGTTGGTCGAGGTTGAGGAGGAACCGCGTAGCCACCTCCCATCGCGTTGCTTCGACCTGCAGTTCCCGTCGGTCGAACTGCTTCTGTTTTGGTTTGGTCCGGACTGCTTGGTTGTGGGCAAGCCTACCACGAGGTTGACGGTGGTTATCACCATGTTCTGGTCTGAGTCCGAGTTGACTGGGTATACCGGCTGGAGGATGACAACCATGTTAGACACTCGGCCGCGGTGTGCCTGCCGCGTTAGAACGTAGTCGGGGCGCCAGCGGTCGGTCCCTGACGCACCGTTGTAGGCGTGCCATATTCCGCCGTTGCGTGTCTCGAAGAACGTGTTCGCGAGTGCTAGCTTGTTGTCCGCTGCAAAGGTCAGCAGTAGACAACCATTCTCGTTGCGCTCATCACGCCCGTGTATCCCCATGACGCTCTTGTCCTCCCCATCCATCTTCTCTCCTGTCCGAGCATTGGCGTCCATCAGGATGTACACGTACTCTTTGGAGGGAATCCTCCGCACGAGACTGCCAAGGGTTCCCCAGAACTCTGTTTTGCTTGCTGTCAGTGGTGGCGACCTCGGTTGGGGCGTACGCAGCAACAAAGTTGACAGCTCCGCGGCGGCCCGTCATCTCAAACCTCACGACCATGAGGCGTTCATCGACATAGTTCGTGGTGAAAGTGGAGGTCTTGCACAGTGACTCTTTAACGGCTATTCCCACACCATGGACTTTACGCTTCCCCGTACCACAGAAGAACACTCGAAACCCGCTGCTGCGAACTCCGTTTGACCTGGCCTCCTGGTCTCCTGCAGCCCTACCATCGATACATCCTGCTTCGTTGCCTCATTTAGGATGCTGTAGGCTCGCCCGTACTCATTCTTCCCGTTTACAGCCCGAGTCCGACATTCCAGGTTGCTACCTACTGTATGGGTCCTACTTGCCTATTATTACCTTTTAAAGGCAGGTTTGGAGTTTTTTCTCGTCGCTTTTTTTTATATGCATATGGTTTGTTGATGCCAGCCACAGCTGTCTTCATGGGGTGAGACAAATTGGGCGGGCGAAAAAAAGTCCAGTCAAATGCGTCTCTCCCGGTGCCTGCGTTGGCACGATGAGTATTATTTAACGTTTACTGGAAACTTGAATCATGCCCATAATCATTCCAATTGCTATGGTACGACTCTGTACGATACGTGTACGATTCAATCCCACAGGACATTTAAACCTTCATACTGGCATCTACACACTATAAGGATAAAAAAAATGTCCTTCCGGGGAGGTGGGGGGATGTCTACGTGCTGATATCAGCGCTCAATACAATCTTGCATGTGCGTACGATGGTTGAAAGCAGCTGAGAGGAAACACACACGTACGTGTGTACGACAGACAACAGGGGGAGAGATATATGCATTCCGTCTCCCCAAAGGTCGCTTTGGAATCTAGGTGGTGCTTCTGCTGAGGTCCGTTCACCGCTGATGTGCGGGGAGAGATGGGGGAGGGCTGTGCGCTGTGGGTGTGTGTGAATGTGACAGCAGCACACATGGTGGGGCGGGTTATAAACGTTTTGTTTCGTTTCGAGACAGTTGCGGCGGAACCTGTAAATGGCCGTACTCGTCACCACTTGCTCCGATTGAGCTCGGATTTGTTGCTATCGATTTGTACGAGCCATGCGCATAGGATCGGGTTACTGAAAAAAATTCATGTTGGTTTGGAGCATGTAAGGAGCGATGTATGCATATGAGGCGTAGCGGAAGTTGGACCTTTGGTTTCGAGAACTGAATTAATTTCGGGCATCTGCCGAAGCCGAAATAGGTGTACTAGACTTTATCAAGGTCAGAATCAGTCAGAATGAAGTAGCTCCGCACCGCCCACTTGTTTGTTTCTCTGTTATCGGCCCCTTCTGGAAAGATTCATGCGTACTGCTCTCGCGAATAGCAAGTGTTCCCCATGGCGCACGGTTGTTGGAGGCTGATCGAAACTCAACCCGCGGGAGAGAGCGCTAGTGATTGGAGGCTTCCACGAGTACGCGTTTTGTCATGCGTCGCACACTCAACGTGGACGGATACAAAGGTGAGGGGCATGGTTGTGCGTGGACTATGTCGGGAATTAAGCGACAGTCGAACACTTGCGGGCTGTGTCTTGACCCATGCTGTGCACATCCTATACTTAGCAAGATATTCTTGGATGGTATCTGGTACATCGAGCTCGGTACGACAACCCGTTTTGCGGACGCGAAGGGGCGGACGCCATCGAAAAGTATGGGGCATCAGACAAGGCGAAGCATTATAGCGTTCGTGGGCAAAATATGCTGTCGTCCACCTCGGAGTCGTCACCACTCATGAAACGGAAAACGCTCCCGCCTTCCTCGTGTTCGACAGAGAATATATCCACCGCGTTATCGATGAGTTGCACAACGGAAGGAATTCAATCTACGCCGACCGATACGATTCAACCGGTGTTCTCAGTCAAAATTATCCAGTTCGTGCGCAATGGTGTAATAACCCTGAAAGTTCTCAATCTATTCTGTTTCTTCGGTGGCTGCTTGGTTTGACAGGTTCGCCCAACGAGCAAAGGTTTGGGTACGTCGAGCACCTTGACGACATTGCCCTAGACTGTCGCGAAAGTAATTTGAGGACTTCCACCACGTCGCACGGTAACAATCTCCATATGAACAGGTTGAAGAGGGCCTTTCGGGACAAGGGCGTAGCAGGCGCGGGACGCAAAGCGGAGGAGATAGATCGATCACAGGAGCCGTACTGGAAGATCGTGCGTGTTCTCCCCGCGCTGCCTGATTTTGTGTTTGCGTTCAAGCTTGTCAAACGACCGCGAGACTTACCACGTAAACTAGAGACTTTGCAACCTGCAGTGCTCTTCGACGGAGCAGTGATGGGTGGGCAGGAGAGTTGAGTATGTACCAATCGGGGGGGCGTGTATAAAAACGATGAGGCAAGGAAGTCTCTTGCGGTTAGTTGGAATGTTTTTTACCAGCCACTCTATGTGGCGACGCATGCTTGATGCTTGGTTATGTAGGTGTCTTGCGGTACGGGGGTGTAGTGTTGATAAACCCATGGCAGGTGAAATTCATGGTTGGGATTTTGGTGCAAAAGATTCTTGATTGAGAAAGTGACACCAGGGTGGGGTCTGCTCCCCGTTGTCTAGTAACCTAGAAAAACGCGCTTGCAGACACTCTTCGATTCTCTGCCATACAGCTTGCTACTTGGAACGGTGCCAGAACTTCCGCAACGGTTCATGGAACGGCCAAGGTTCCAGCAGAAACTCAGTCTTGTCGCGCACTACCACCGCTATACAAGGCCAAGGCTCGTACTTCTATCATACATGCTTGCGCTATGCTTGCCTGCTACACTACGCTAAGAAAAATTAGCCGCCACCGGACGCGAGGTTCTCGAGTAAATCCAACTTCAATCGGATTCAATTGGTTCCAAGTGCATCTGGATATAACTACAATACATGCTTTACATGTGCTTCCGGAACGAACCCTTCTCTACCTCCCTCTCGCGTGAATCAAAAACCAAGAGGTATACTCGGTGGCTTCAGCAACGAACCCAAGAAGTGTAGCTCCGAGAGTAGTGTGTGTGAAGCGATCGTCCGTCGCGATGGACAATCCCTTCTCTACCTCCCTCTTGCGTGAATGCAAAACAAAAGAGTATACTCGGTGGCTTCAGGAACGAGCCCAACAAATGTAGCTCCGAGGGTAGGAGTAGGAGACCGTGTGTGAAGCGATCGTCCGTCGCGGTGGACAATACCTTCTCTACCTCCCTCTCGCGTGAATACAAATAATAAAAGTATACTCGGTGGCTTCCGGAACGAACCCTTCTCTACCTCCCTCTCGCGTGAATACAAATAATAAAAGTATACTCGGTGGCTTCAGGAACGAACCCAAGTACTCTAGCTTCGAGAGTAGTAGCAGGAGACCGTGTGTGAGACGATCGTCCGTCGCGGTGGACAATCCCTTCTCTACCTACCTTTCGCGATAATCAAAAATAGAGAAGTATACTCGGTGGCTTCCGGAACGAAACCAAGAAATGTAGCTCCAAATGTAGTAGTAGGAGACCGCGTGTGAAGCGTCGTCCGTCGCAGTAGACAATCCCTTCTCTACCTCCCTCTCGCGTGAATGCACAACAAAAAAGCATACTCGGTGGCTTCCGGAACGAACCCAAGAAATGTAGCTGCGAGAGTAGTAGATGGAGACCGTGTGTGAAGCGATCGTCCGTCGCGATGGACAATTCCTTCTCTACCTCCCTCTCGCGTGAATCAAAAACCAAGAAGTACTCGGTGGCTTCTGGAACGAACCCTTCTCTACCTCCCTCTCGCGTGAATCAAAAACCAAGAAGTACCGGTGGCTGCAGGAACGAACCGAAGTACTATAGCTCCGAGAGTAGTGTGTGTGAAGCGATCGTCCGTCGCGATGGACAATCCCTTGTCTACCTCCCTCTTGCGTGAATGCAAAACAAAAGAGTATACTCGGTGGCTCCCGGACCGAACCCAAGAAATGTAGCTCCGCGAGTAGTAGAAGGAGACCGTGTGTGTGAAGCGATCGTTCGTCGCGGTGGACAATCCCTTTTTAACTTCCTCTCGCGTGAATGCAAAACATAATTGAATACTCGGTGACTTCCGGAACGAACCCAAGAAATGTAGCTCCGAGAATAGTTGTAGGAGACCGTGTGTGAAGCGATCGTCCGTCGCGTTGGACAATCCCTTCTCTACCTCCCTCTCGTGTGAATCAAAAACCAAGAAGTATTGTGACTTCAGGCACGAACCCAACAAATATAGCTCGGAAAGTTGTAGTAGGATACCGTGTGTGAAGCAATCGTCCGTCGCGGTGGACAATCCCTTCTCTACCTCCCTCTCGCGTGAATGCAAAACAAAGGGTATACTCGGTGGCTTCCAGAACGAACCCAAGAAATGTAGCTCCGAGAGTAGTAGGAGGAGACCGTGTGTGAAGCTAGCGTCCGTCGCGGTGGACCATTCCTTCTCTACCTCCCTCTCGCGTGAATCAACACAAAAAAGTTACTCGGTGGCTTCCAGAACGAATGCAAGAAATGTAGCTCCGAGAGTAGTAGTAGGAGACCGTGTGTGAAGCGATCGTCCGTCGCGGTGGACAATACCTTCTCTACCTCCCTCTCGCGTGAATGCAAAAAGTACTCTCGGTGGCTTCCGGAACGAACCCTTCTCTACCTCCCTCTCGCGTAAATACAAATAATAAAAGTATACTCGGTGGCTTCAGGAACGAACCCAAGAAATGTAGCTCCGAGAGTAGTAGTAGGAGACCGTGTGTGAAGCGATCGTTCGTCGCGGTGGACAATCCCTTCTCTACCTCCCTCTCGCGTTAATACATAACATAGAAGTATACGAACCCACGAAATGTAGCTCCAAGAGTAGTAGTAGGAGACTGTGTGTGAAGCGATCGTCCGTCGCGGTGGACAATCCCTTCTCTACCTCCCTCTCGTGTGAACTAAAAACCAAGAAGTATACGGTGGCTTCAGGAACGAATCCAAGTATTGTAGTTCCGAGAGTAGTGTGTGTGAAGCGATCGTCCGTCGCGATGGACAATCCCTTCTCTACCTCCCTGTTGCGTGAATCCAAATATAGAAGTATACTAGGTGGCTTCCGGACCGAACCCAAGAAATGTAGCTCCGAGAGTAGTAGTAGGAGGCCGTGTGTGAAGCAAACGTCCGTCACCGTGGACAATCCCGTTCAATATCTACACGGACGAACCGCGCTCACATCTAACTAGTCCACAAAGATGGAAAAAATGATTGAAAAAAACAAACCTAGCCCGCCCCGGCCGGGCCCACTCAAACAGCCCATCTTTTGCCCATATCAACAACAATTAAAAATGGCGAGTGAATATTTATTGTTGGTGTGGAACCAGCTTAGCTTTTCGTTCTACATGATCATTGTTTACGACAATTGGTTGATTGATGGCTACATAGGATGTGAACCAGACGAAATCGTCCGTCACGGTGGACAATCCCGTCTACACCCTCCCTCTCGCATGTGGGAAAAAAAAGTAGAATTCGTGAGACATCTATATGTAAACAGACGATGCAAAGTAGAGCTCGGAGAGTACGAAGAGACCGTCTGAGACGCAATCGTCCGTCACGGTGGACAATCGCGGTGCCGATGGTGATTCCCGTCCTGATGGAATTCTATCGGCCTGTGACGGAGTCGTCCGTGACGATGGACAAGCGCGGCTCTACCCTCACTCTCGCGAGTCAAAACCATATTCCAAGAGGGGACGATAAGTTTGGCTCTATCGCTTATGTACACCCCCAATCGTCTCGTAAACACGTAGATTATTTTTCTTAGAACTTTCAAAAAACTTTACTCCAAATATGTTTTTGGGCGAGGGCGCCCCGCTCGCCCACAACCCTAACCCTTCCATCCCCACACATCTTGGGAGAATTCGTCTCCGAGGAATCTCTCCAGGGATTCATCACTTGTTCGCAGGGGATAGAGGACTTGAGGTGATCCAACCATTCACCATTTCCCTGTGGAGGACGTGATCGCTGAGTGCAGAACCTCCCCAAAATATTGGGACCATCAACAAGTTATAGAACCTCCAGGACCTTCCCAGTTTTCGCACTTCGAATATTTTCATCGACAGACGCAATCGTCCGTCGCGGTCGACACTTTGTGCACACGTGACCACTGGAGCTTGCCGAAGCATCTGATCTACCTACCTCTGCCCAAACCAATTTCTCAGGGCATCTCACTGGGAAGGATTTCCCCCTGAGAAGATGGAAAATATTCCCGCCTTTGATCCACCTACGGCGGCCGAACTCGAGCGCTGCGCTGAGGAAGCCCGCATCGACAAGGCCATCCGCGTGGAAGAGGAAAAACGGACGCATCTGCTGACCTTAGAGGAAAAAAAGAAGTATCTGCTGACCCTAAGAACTTCGTACTGTAAGCGTTTCTCAAAATGTTCGGGCCGCAGTTTCCTCTTCGGCTTCGAGTGCTCTAGCGACACCATGAAGGATGTCAAGAGTGAGGCCGCCATGACCAGAATCGGGAAGGCTCTCAACCCACTACCGTATTGGGGCGTCAAGCTAAGGTCCGCGACCATCGGGGTCACGGAGACGGGCGACTGCCGGACGATCCGGATGGCCATCGACCTCGAGACGGACCACGCTGTGCCAGCTACAAGGTTATGACCGCATTGCACTCGGCCTTTGACACTTTTGACGGAGAGATTATGTTTCCACCTAGGAGACGCGCCTCGACCTTGTGGGAGAAGGCGAGAAGAATCCTCGCACCCGACGGCCCCGAGCCTGTCGACGTGGACCCGGACCCGTACGTGTACCACAAGAAGACCAGCGAGCCTCGTGACGATGGCAATCAGAGGAACCCGGTTTATGTTCAGCTGCAGATAATCCAGAACAGCCGTCTCGGCCAGGAGGTATTCAGGCCCGTCAACCTTTTTCCCTCGCTGGGGATGGGAGCAGCTTTCGTCAACGTGGGCGCGGCGAGCCGGTTGGACGACGCGAAGAAAGTGTTCCAAGAGTGTGGGGGATCGTGGAAGAAGCTTATGAGCACCACACTCTTCACTGGATGTTGTATGGGGTCACGCAACCCTCTGCTGTTCCGTGCTTGCTTCGACATGCTCTCTCGTCCGGCGTAGCCGGACGAGAAGCCTGACGAGACGTACAAGCGGTTCGTACAGGAAGAGGTTTTCGGTATCAGCAGAAAGCGCCCGCGCGAGGAAAGTAACGCGAGGAAACTGCGGAGGAAATTGCGACAGCCACTGGCAAGCTAAAGGGGAGCTCTCTGTCATCTTGGGCTGGCCGCAGCCTAACCTAGACCGGGGAGGAAGGCTCTGGATTGAGCGCTGCTGCCGCGCCGAAGAAGCGTAGAAGGACCTCTTCATGGTTGACCCTGGCATAGTTCAGACATGCCCCAAAGCTGCTTGATGGTTTCGGGAATCTAAGTAGCTCGTGCGAGACGGCATTTGACGCTATCGTCCGTCGCGTGGACAATCCCTTTTCTAACTATAGAATCTGGGAGAAATCCTTCAACGCTGAGTGAGGAACAGATGTCTGAGAGCAGGAGACGGCCTGCGGCGCAATCGTCCGTGGCGGTGGACAATTTCGTCTCTGTATATGTTTGTAGGTATCTTTTACGCTCTGTCTGCTTTCAGGTGTCCGTATTTTGAACATCGGTTAGGTACCATCTACCTTGGGTTCTCTTCGTGGTTCAAGAGCATAGCCTCGAGTCTGCACGAATAGCATCTGATATTATTAGCAATTGATTCTTCGATACATATACCCAGCTTAATATCGCGGGGCACGTACGTACCATATACTTCTTGGTTGGTCTCTTCTGCGGTGTCGAGTGTGCCCAGTTTTGTGACCGGGCTCCCATTGATGTTTTTGAACAGAGAGCTTATGTGAGAAAAACACACACACACACACACACACACCAGCTATTGTCCGGTGGAGCAATGTTTTCGGATACCGGTACACCACCGGCTGACTCCTGGCACTGGTGATCGGATTATGTCCAGACGACTTCCACAGAACTCGAAGGTCCTATCCGTACGTCGCCACAGCCTTTCGGAGGTTCCTACGACGGGGGCGGATACGCCACTACCAAACCGATTGGGCGAACACGAGGAACTTGAGTCCACGAGAGCGAGACACTGGAAACTACCCTACCTCTTCTCGTCCGAAAAGCCAAAGATGGATCGGTATTGCCCCCCTCTTTCCAAACATACACGCGAACACATCGTTCTCGTCCGAACAACAACTTGGACAACACATTGTTTTTACCAAACCATGAAAAACAAAAACACGGAAGAGCGTCGACAGGCGATGCCGCCACAGTCCGAGGCAACAACAAGTTGATAGGCGATGCCGCTACAGTTCGAAGCCACAACAAGATGACAGGCGATGCCGTGACAGTCGAAGGCCGCGCGGGTGTTAGATCGTCCGAACAACAACTTGAACAAGCCGTTTTTGACCAAATCATGAAAAAAGAACACGAAAGAGCATCGACAGGCGATGCCGCTACAGTCGAAGCGTGGGCGATGACTGAATCGTCCGAACAACAACTTGGACAACACTTTTTGTGACCAAATCATGAAAACAAATCACGAAAAAGCGTCGAAGCGATGCCGCCAAAGTTCGAGGCCACAACAAGTTGACAGGCGATGCCGCTACAGTCGAAGCCCGCGTGGGCGTCGAATGGATCGTCCGAACAACAGCAACTTGGACAAGCCGTTTTCGACCAAATCATGAAAAAATCACGGAAGAGCGTTGACAGGCGATGCTGCCACAATCGGAGGCCACAACAAATTGAGAGGCGATGCCACTACAGTCCGAGGCCGCGTGAGCGTTCGATCGTGCGAACAACAACTTGGACTACACTTTTTTGACCAAATCACAAAACAAAACAACACGGAAGAGCGTCGACAGGCGATGCTGCCACAGCCCGAGGCCACACCAAGTTGACAGGCGATGCCGCTACAGTCCGAGGCAACAACAAATCGACAGGCGATGCCGCCACAATCCGAAGCCGCGTGAGCGTTGGGTCGTGCGACCAACAACAACATGGCCAAGACATTTTGGACCAAATCATAAAACTAGATTGACGAAAGAGAGTCGACAGGCGATGCCGCCACAGTCCAAGGCCATGACAAGATGACAGGCGACGCCGTGACAGTCGAAGGCCGCGCGGGTGTTAGATCGTCCGAACAACAACTTGAACAAGCCGTTTTTGACCAAATCATGAGAAAAAAACACGAAAGAGCGTCGACAGGCGATGCCGCTACAGCCCGAGGCCACAACAAGCTGACAGGCGATGCCGCTACAGTCGAAGCCCGCGTGAGCGTTGGATCGTGCGACCAACAACACCTTGGCCAAGACATTTTCGACCAAATCATGAAAAAAACTTTCACGAAAGAGAGTCGACACGCGATGCCGCCACAGTCCGAGGCCACAACAAGTTGACAGGCGATGCCGCTACAGTCCGAGGCTGCGTGAGCGTTCGATCGTGCGAACAACAACTTGGACGACACTTTTTTTACCAAACCACAAAACAAAACAACACGGAAGAGCGTCGACAGGCGATGCTGCCACAGCCCGAGGCCACACCAAGTTGACAGGCGATGCCGCTACAGTCTGAGGCAACAACAAGTCGACAGGCGATGCCGCCACAATCCGAAGCCGCGTGAGCGTTGGATCGTGCGATCAACAACAACTTGGACAAGCCTTTTTTGACCAAGTCATAAAAATAAGTTCACGAAAGAGAGTCGACAGGCGATGCCGCTACAGTCCGAGGCCACAACAAGTTGAAAGGCGATGCCACAACAGACCCCATTTGGTTCACCGTGTATCTGCTCCTCGACGCAGCTTTTCCTCGTGCTCCTCTTGCTGCAGCTGCCGTTTCTGTATATGCAGCTGCTGCTGTTGCCGCCGCGCCTCGTTTTCCTTCACATTCAATAGCTTCAGCTGAAACTCCTGCCCACGCCGTTGCTCTAGCTGGAGCCGTTCGCTGCCGCTGATCCTGCTCAAGCTGTCGCTCCACCTGATTCCGCTGTTCCTTCTGATGTTCCTGCGGCGGTTCTTTCTGCTGTTCCTGCCTCTGCCGCTGCAGTTGCTCAAGCATAATCAGCTGCTCCCGGAGCCGCTACCCCTCGTGTTGCCGCACAATTGACAGCTCCTGCTGAAGCTTCTCTTCGAGCAGTTGCTGTAGCTGACGTCGCTGTTCCTGGTGCTGCTGTTGCTGCTGTTGCTGCATAAAATGCTCCCGCTGCTCCCGAAATCCATGCTCAACGAGTCGGCGGCGGCGGGGGCGGCGTCAGCCTCCTCCCCCTCAGTCCCCTTTTGCCCTCGGTCGCAACCTGAGCAGGCAGGAAGAAAGATTTGGGGAGTGTGTCAGTGAGTTGTGTGGTGGCCAAAGTGTTTTCATTTCGTCTCTCTCTCAAAGAATTTTTGCCATTTACGCGCCTGTGTCTGTTGCTGCGGCATTTGCTGCAGGGAGTTGTGCAGAAAATGCTCTTCCTCTTCTTGCTGCTTTTACTACAGGGAGTTGTGCAGAAAACGCTGCTGGTGTCGCTGTTTTTAATAGTAGTATATTCCGGCTGCTTCCCCTGACATGAAGCCTCGTTGACGTTGCCCTCGGCATTCTTCTTCAGCCTGGTAGCCCTCGCAGCCTCTTCCAGCCACGCGCCCGAGCGGCCAGCTTCTCTGCTCTCCCGGCGGCGCTAACAATACCCGTAGTAGCAACACCAGACCCAGCGCCGTCATCTACCATCAACAGCAGGAGCGGGGCGATGAAAACATGGGGATGGGGGCAGCAGAATAACGAGAAGTGGGGGGACGACAGGGATGACAAAAAATACAACGACGAATTAGCATATAGTGGCGGTCAGGGAGCCGGATGGTACCTGACTCTTATGTTAAAAAGAGAGAGGCCATAACGACCAAACGAAGGCTGGGAGAGGGGCTGAAGTGGACGGGCGAAACGAACCCAACTTCGTAAAACGCGTGACACATGCGACAGCAATGACACACGAAAACGGGATGAACGGTTCCATGGACGCGTGGCTGCAAACAAGAGCGACAGATAACAAGAACAACGACCGCATTGTAGAAATAAAAAACGCACACCCACACACCCACTTGTCCGAAGTAGAGCTGTCTCAATATAGTCGAGTCGAGCCTGCTGTGTACACCCGCATGGCACAGCTTTATAGAAGCCTTCACCGGTCTCGCGGTACTTCGCAATCTACTGAGGAGGCACCAGCCACAGATGACGCAAACGGCAAGGCAGGGCCCAGAGCAACTACTTATATGTTGCTTCAGCTCCAACTAATCGGTGGCGATTATTGTTTGCTCTCTAGCTATGAAATATACGCTCGTCAGGGTAACAAGGGACGAAGGGTGGAACAACAACACGCCAGAGAAATCGCGGCATTCTTTGCTCGTACTGGCGTACCCACCGGGTAGGTTGATCGCCTAGAGCCAACACGAAGGCTTCAGCCAGCTCCGACACGCGACACGAGAACAGAAAGCAAGCTTGTACACGATAGCCGAGGCGGCGTTCAAGGACCGCATAAAGCACAACACCCGACTTGTACACAACACACTTTGGAAAATTCCGATGACGAGGCAAGTATCCATATAACAACAACGCCAAGTTGTAACCTTGCACGTACGAACAAAACCAGCTTCTCTAAAACCCTGCAAGCATCTCCAAGAGAAATAAACGTAAACTACACGAACGCACCTGTAAGGTTTCCATATTCTCTTGGCATTATGTCTCGCTGGCACCGACGCCCTGCAGGCGTATCTCTAAGCTAGAGGAGCAGGTTCTGTCAAGCGAAGACTATAAAACGAACCAAAGAGCAGTCGCTTGCCTCTTTACGTCCTTTTCAGCTTGGCAGCCCTCACAGCCTCCGCACCCGTGGGCTCACTAGCCAGCTAGCTCCTCCGCTCTCCCAGCGGTCACGATATCCGTGAGGCAAAACTAGGGACCCCAGACGGAGCAATGCCACCTATCATCGACAGGAGGTGGGGGAGGAGCACAGAGATTGCGGCAGCGGGTGGAGGGGGAAGCTGGGAAATAATGCGGGGATGAGAAAACGTGGCGATTGCGTAAACAAAAGGTACGTCTTGGATTGTGTGAAGCACAGCCGAAGCATCTTGAGGTAAGTGAGGGGTTCACGAGAAGACTTGCACAAAAAACCAACATGCGTTCGGAAATGATGACTGTTTTTGATCCGATGGCGCGCTTGTTTTTTGCGTTTGGAAATGCACACCACACGGAAAAAGCCATCGATTGCGCAGCAAGCTCGTCGTACCGAGCCCATCAATGGCTCCGAGCAACCCTCGGAGCACTGCGCTGCCATCTCAGCCGTTGATATTTGGTTGCCGTGTGGCGAGGTGCGCTCAAAGCGAAATGTTGGCCAGCTGACGCAGACACCGCTTGTTTAGCGCCTGATGGGTCTGATCGTGCCGGTGGGTCTTCGGCTGCCGAGCGTTTTACGTGTTTCAGGTGCACAAAGCCAGGCTACGCCCCGCAGAACTGTCCGTTGCAGTGGTTCCCCGCCAAAGCCTCTACCCAGCATGCTGGTTATAGAGGCATTTTCGCGGCACCGGGGACGTCCGTGGATACCAGCAGCAGCATCAACAGCACCGCACGCAGGGGCAGACGCAGCAGCACCAGGGACCTCACGGACAGCCTGCGCAGCATCCTTCTTCAGGAGGGGGACGTGGCTCCTGAGGGGCATCGTCTACCAACTTCCACCAACGCCAAGTATATTGAAGATGCTGATTTTGCCGGAGAATCCCAGCGGGAGGCGGCTCCGACGCCTTTTCTGTCGCCGGACCCGTCTGGTCTCCGTCAGCTGACATTGCCGACGCATCCTTTCCAGCGCCAACTGAGCATGCGGGGGGTGCAACCCGGCCCTGCGGGACCGTTCGTGCCGGTATTTGGAGTTTCCAGCCCAGAAGTGTATCTGGGTTTGGTTCTGAAGGTATCGCGGTTGATTCGCAGGAAGAATGGTGCCGAGTGAACTTGTCGGTGCCTGGTGCTGCCGACATGACTGCCTATAGACGCCATTGCCATCTGGCTTGTAGCTCGATGCTGACCACCATGTTGCACGTATCGCCAATAGACTGCAAGGTCTTTGGGGGCACACGCAAAATCCGGAAAAGCAAATTACCGGACGTCTTGCTCCGCACACCAGCTTGGGGCTGGTGTCGGTGGAACCGTTTACGGTATTGCCTGGTAACGATGAGATGGTCATTCTTGGCGACCCGACGCTGAAGGCGTTGGGTATCAATGTGTACGAGAGGTTTGGGGCCTGTGCGCGTCCGTGCGCTAGCGTCGCGGGTGTTGATACCGCGGCGTACAAACAATGCCGCCGAGTTACGATTGCCGTTGATGCTCTGTAGCAGCGCGGAGGTGGAGCGGCAAGCCGAGCCGGATCCAGCGGTCGATTGTTCGGTTGCCCGAGGCCCAGACATGGGCATGAGCCCTGAGGAGGAGGCAACGGCACGGTCTGCATCGTTGGACAGCGCTGTCTCCTCTGCCGCTGCAGCTGGCTTGGAGGAATCGCAAGCGGGACGTCTGTGAGGCATTATCAGCGAGCGCGGGAACGTGTTTCGTCGTGGTTCACGTCATGGCGATCCTCCCGCGAACGTCGAGCCTCTACGGGTCACCCTCAAGCCCGGAGCGCGGCCGGTTTAAGCGCGACCGCGAGTGTACAACCCGATAAAGACCTTGTGCCTAGCGGGGTGTATGGCGTCGCTGGTCACGTTGGGTTTGGTGTTTCTCAACATGCAGGCCGTGTGGGCCAGTGCCGCGACGGCGACTCCGAAGAAAGGGGGATATCGGCTGGGTAGTGACTTTCGTGCGGTCAACAAGCAAGTAGAGAAGGTGCCTGGTGTCATGCCTAACCCTGAAGCCAGCATGGCTCAGCTCAGTGCGGCCAAGATGTAGGGAGCTTGGACCTGTTGCAAGGGTACTTGCAGTGCCCGTTGTCGTCAGAAGCGCAGGAAATGTTGACGATCGCTACGCCGAGCGGGCGGCCGCTACATTCCAAAGCGGGTGCTACAAGGTATTTTGAACGCTAGGCGGTACTTCGAGGCTCCTCTTGGCGTATCCGGGAGAAGCTGAATTGCTTCGTCTGGGTAGACCACGTCGTGTATCGGGGAATGGATGAAGACGACTTGCTTGACACCCTCGACCTGATTTTTAAACGTCTGGAGGGAGCCGGCCTTTTGTGTAGGCGCTCACAACTGCACATTCTTTGAGACGAACGTCACTTGGTGCGGTGTACTACTCTCAGGGTAAGGTCGAGCATGATCCCGAGCGGCTCAGCGGTCTGCCTACAATGTGGCGTCCTGAGACTGCTGGATAGCTGATGCAGACCATGCACGCGTTCAATTGGCTGCGCACTCTCTACCGCGGATGGTGGCGGTTGCGTGGCCGCTTTGCGTGTTTGTGGAGCAGCACTTGGTCGGTTCCAAGAACCGAACGACGCACGTGGCCGAGAATCGCGCGATCGCTGCGGATGCGTGGACGCCCGCCCTGGTGGAAGCATGGGCTGCCGTGCGAGATGTTGTCGTCCGCGCTGTTGCCTTGTCTCACCGTCGCCCGGGCGCCGTGCTCATGTTTCCCGAATGCGTCCGATGAGCATTGGGGGCGTTTTCTCACCCAAGCTCCCCCAAGATCAGCTGGGCCGTTGCTCATGAGCCGATGGGGTTTCTGAGCGGCACATCGAAGGGGTTGCAGCAGCGGCGGGCCACGGTGGACAAAGAAGGGCACGAGATCCTGAGTACGTCCAAGCGGTTGGAGTATTTGCTTTGATATGGAATGCATATCTTCACAGTCCACCATAATCACGCGTACATCTTCGACCCGGAGGATTGCGTGTCTTCAGTAGCAAAAGCAACGATCCAGCGCGTTGACCAGCTTAAAGTTGTCTTGATTCAGCACGATTACGCCATCAGGCACTTTTCGGGTGAGCGGAATTGCTGGGGACACCTTCTTTCAAGGTGGTTTTCTGTGCCGTCGGTAAATGTTCATGCTGCCGCGGTGTACGCCCCCAGCGAACCTAATGCCGCTATGCCGTCGAAGCATGTCGTACGTGATGCATAGCAACCATCGCTGAGTAACCTCGGCACATGGAAGAAGCTTGATCGGTCGGAGTTTTGCTGATTGGTCTTAGCATGCCTGCTGTGCCAGGGTATATTGTTCTATCACTGCCGATGGATTTTTGCTTATGCTTGACCTCAAGTCGGGTATGCCTCACCGTTGTTGGTATTTTGGCAGTTACACAGGTGTTTTTCGACTGGCGAAATATCTACGGCTACGTATTTTAAGAGTACTTGCATAGCGTGGGCGTTTTTCATCGATGGTGAGGGCGATCGTCATGGTACATGCCATTGCTGGTCGACGTTCCGTAGGATACTTTTGGGACTTGATGTTTGTGAGCGGTTTCCATCTGCTTTTGCGCAAAGCTCGTTGTTGCTAACGGGCTATCATTCAATTCTCGCGTCTTGCCCGTGTTTGACTTGTAGTTCGAGCCCAGTTTGTTATCAAGCTTATCGCGTTCTACTACTAACGATGCGTTTTGGGCGAGATGTGGACAGGGCTCTGCTGGGGGCCCAGATTTGGCCAGATATGGCCAGATATGGTAGTTGGAGATGTTGATGGTACCCCTTTTTTGTCCCATCCGGGAGCGCTCTGTTGACGTCTGAGCAAAATCACACGTGTTGCAAGTTCCCAAAAAAACAAAAAACATGACTAAGGGTCTCCGCGAAAATCGATAGCTGTTGTTGTTGTTGTTGTCTTCACATTAAAAACCGTTCCGTTCTCTCTACCCAGCACCCTCTTCTGTCCGTACTAGTCTAACACTTGACGGGGTCGATTCCCGTGGGCACAGGCTAACTTACCAAAAAAATGTTATACGACAATAAATGGACCAGAAGGGTCCGCAAGACAATAAAAGTCAAAGACAGATAGTCTAGGCCATTCCGCTCGCCTCTACACGCTACACTTGGTAACCCTAGATTGGAAAAAGATCGAAAAAAGAAAGGGAAGAAGAAAAAGAAAAAGAAAAAGAAAAGGGAGAGAGCAGATGGAGAGGAGGGAAAGAGAAGGAGAAAGACACAGACAGAGAAAGACACACGCCTAAGCGTCAGACAACAAACAAACAAACAGAAAACACAAAACATCACAAAACAACACAAGACAAAGCGGGCCGCTCGTGCTAGCCCTTGCACGTCATCGCTCGCGGGGGGTTGGTGCACTGGTGCAGTGCCGGGGGGGGGGGGGATAAGTCAAGCAAGGCGTTCACTTCGGCACGGTGTTTCGCGCCACTAGGTCCGCCTCTTCGCGTTTCCTGCGTTTCCTCGCCGTCTCGTCCGTCTGCTGTACCCCTCCCACCCCCGTGGTTGCTGCCGTGTCCGTGTTGTTATCGGGTTTCTTGTTTGGTTTGAGCGCTCGTTGTCGGCTAGCCACCTCTTCCTTCTTTTGCCAGGAGGCCATGAACCTCTTAGCAGTACCCCTGTATGCTACGAGACCCCCCGGTCCATCTTCGCTGCTTCCATCCAAGTTGTTTCCGGGACTCCGAAGAAGCTTGACTCGGCATCCGTAGATCCGTGCTCTGCTTCGATCATCTTCAGGTCGTTCTTCAGGCACATCTGCCAGTTTTCTCCGGTTTCCCCCTGCCTGGGTCCTCCCTCCCCACCAGTTCGCCAAGCATCACCCGTTTCGGGCGTCGTCGGTCTGGCTGCCTTGCCAACG